TCTACATCTACATTCTGAATGTGACAGACTAATTGAACTACGTATATCGAATCCCTATTTGTGTTCCGAAGAACCTGAAAGGAAACGCGAATATATTCGATTTTAAACCCCCTTTTGGCTTTTTCAGAAAGAAATGAAATTTTGTGATTAGTATAAATTGCTCGATCTACAAAACGTAAAATTTTTGCGTGTCATCAGATGTAATTTAAATGTTCAAATCGGATCCAATACAACACGAAATGTTCGTAAACGTGGCACAAAAAAAAAAAATAAAACCTCCCCTCCTGAAGGAGACGAATTTGACGAAACGCAGAGGAAACACCCATACCTCCCTGCGGGACGTCGAAAAAGAGAAAAATGTAATAGAATTTAAATGTAAAAGTTAAAATTGTCGGAAAAATTTATACATTGTTAAAATTTTGTTATTCGATGTAACTGCGATTCATTGTTATCTGATCATTTGTAGAAACCTTTGGATATAGACATGCGATGTTACGCGAAACCAAAAGCGCGCAAGAAAAGCAACCGGAGAATGAACTGACAGCGTACAACGCTCTCAGCTAAAATGTCGCTACTCCACAGCAACATTTTAAAAATGGCGGAGAGCCCTGTGAGGCTCCGGAAGTAGGTCGAAATTCGCGCAAGATAATGTTTTAATTTCGTATAAAAAAAGTATTTTTTTTTTTATTATAATAATATATATTGTAAAAAGAAACCGTATAACGCAAGGTGAATATATTATGTCCATATATAGTCATATCTGTAGAAGTTTCTGAGAAAAAACGAATTTCTCAGAAAGAAACAATAGATGAATTTGAGTACTTAGATCGAACATCTTCGATAGAAATCAAATTGTCAGTCGGGGGGCTCACCCCGCGATCTGGGCTCCGATCCCGTTACAATTCGTAACAAGGAGGGGAGACAAATTAGAGAACGGGGGCAGATCGACATCGCCCTATCGGAATGTTCGATCTGGGACTCAGAAAAACTTATAAAAATCGCGCAAAAATAGGATGTGACGTTCTTGGTTCGTAGTTCTTGGCCTTTGGTTCGCAGTGCTCCTCTCCAGGATTCTTGTCATCCGGACATTCTCCCACGAGAACTTGTCGGATATTCGGAGGACTTGTCTTCACCCCTCTCGTGCCATCAAGATCGCTAAAGTCCACCTGGTAGATAGAAGACCTCGGTCCAAATAGCGTTGTGCAGCCCAGAGTCGACACCTTTACACCACCATCGCCGGAAGAAAAACTAACATCAGAACAGTTGAACTTTTAGTGTTACGAACTTGTTGCTCGACTTTGGATAGGCGTTACGCAGTTATAAGGATTTGTTGTAAGAAAAATTTTTATATTTATTAAACGGTATTCGATGGAAGACCTGTCTCAGTAAGTTTTTCCACTCCCACACGACAGTGCTGACCGCTCGACTGTTGCGACACTTTCTCCCCAATCGGCAAACCTCGCATTAATGAGAAATCTTGTTTTATCGCGCGCTTAGTCTTTTAATTAACGTTCAACGCATCGAATCCACATGTCAAATGTAAGTCCACATTCTTTGTTCATTTCTGTCAATCACGGTCTTTCTATAAAAATTGTTAACCTCCTATCAATTTTGTAGCAAAAAAAGCTGATGAGGGATTCCATGTCCGAAATGCATTCTGAAAATAAAATAGTGTTTTTCTAAATCTAATTTGATGTCGTGTGGTGGTATAATAAGTCTAGAGGTAAAGTAAAGCCAATCTTAGCGCTCACAAGCCAGGAAGAAGATTGTTATTGCAGTATGTCCTTTCTAGAGCACCCGAAACAAGGAAGAAACTTTTATGCCTCCATTCAAGTAGCCAATTTGAAAGGATTATAACATACTGTATTTTACATTAAAAACGAATATATATATATATATATCTAAATTACAAAAAGAATTTAATAACTAACTTTTGATTACAATAAATCTCAAAAGTGAATTGTTTCATTTAAAAGTCCGAAGACTTCAATAAGCAAGTGTCATCACAGTCGTGCTTTATCATTTTTTTATGTTTTATAAATTAAGTATCGAAATTTAAATTCAATATTATTATATTATTCCAAGTTATGATCATTAAATAAACAAAAAAATTAGATAATAAATTTTTTTAAATATTCGAAAATCCTAAATTAAAATACACAAAAATAATCAAACGATAGATGGCGTCGATGCAACGACCGATTTCGATGGATTCTATTGATGTGGCAAAGGTAATAATTTTTCATGCAATATTTAACTTAATACAGTACTTAAAATTAGATAAATATTTTATTAATTTAACATAAAGTATAACTTTAATGAAAAATTAACTTAATAGTTTACTTAAATTTTATTTAAATAAAAAATTGACATTTAAATAAAGTTTTGCTTTTTTGTATAGAAAGATGCTATAGAACTACATTTAGTTCAGGCAGTTTGGATGTTGTTGCCGAACCTTTAAAGAAATTCTTATTTGATGATGATTGATATGAGTTAGAAGATTCTGATGATACTGTAACTCTATAATACTTTGTCAGGTATAGTATTTCCTGCATCCAACAAATATCCAATGTTTAACCATGCACAATTTATTAATTTTCTTGTTTACGTATGCATTTTGGGATGACATAAATTCTCGAACCCTCTTCGGTGCCATATAATTTGTAAGTACTTTCATTAAAGAACTATAAGTGAAATTCAATTCCGAATATAAGTGCATTTCCAGTGTTTATAATTAATATGTCTTAATCCATAGGATTGTGCATGCTTAAACTTGGATATTTGTTGGCTGCAGGAAATACTATACCTGACAAAAAGAATTATAGAGTTAAGCTAATGAAAAAAGTATTCAAAAACGATTCCTATTTCTAAGCTTAACATGTTACTTTGCTTTCCATACTCCAAACTGATAAGGCTACCAGCATCTGCATTAATTAGTATGAAAAACTGGTGGTGAAAAAAATTTTAAACTGGTGAAGTGGTTGGCAATTTTTTAAATTTTCTAGAGCAACCCCTAATTTACAATTACTCAAAAATGCTGGATGAATTATTTGCAAAACATACAACTATTAACCTTAATTTTAAATCCAGCAATCTTTAATTCAAGTGTGACAAACGTTTTCAATCTGATGATAGATCTGCTTCGGGTGTAGAAAGCTTAATATTCTGTGTGTAGCATCTTTGTAATCCAAATGTTAATTTTGGTAGACGATCAAACAGCAATTAGTTAGGAAAACGTTACAGTTTATTTAAAAGAACACTTTTTTAAAAAATTCAGATGCATTTCAGGTTGGCTTGTATTCCCAACCCCTCTTCAGTGATGTTATATAATGGTACAGTATAGACGTGTGGGAATATTTTTATTACATAGTCGTATGACTATTTCATTTTTAGTTAAAATGTATTATTCTTGATAAGAAATGGAACAGAGTACAAATTGACAATGGGCGTTAACTGATGTAACAGTAACTGAGTAACAGTATACTTGCCAGTATACTGTTACTCAGTTACTATATCGGTGAACACCAGTTAACGCCCGTTGTCAATTTGTACTCTGTTCCATTTCTTATCAAGAATAATACATTTTAACTAAAAATGAAATAGTCATACGACTATGTAATAAAAATATTCCCACACATGTCTATACTGTACCATTATATAACATCACTGAAGAGGGATTGGGAATACAAGCCAACCCGAAATGCATCTGAATTTTTTAAATAAACCGTAACGTTTTCCTAACTAATTGCTGTTTGATCGTCTACCAAAATTAATGTTTGGATTACAAAGATGCTACACACAGAATTTGAAGATACAGCAACCACGTCTTCTACACTTAATATTCTGATTTGAAGCAGATCTATTATTAGAGTGGAAACATTTATCAAACTTGAATTAAAGATGATTGCTAGATTTAAAATTAAGGTTAATAGTTGTATGTGTTGTAATTTTTTTATATGACAGATTAAAAACTCATTTGTATATATATATACTGTATATGTGAGGTTTGAATGACCCAACTATGATCTGCCTTTGCCTTTGGGTGAAAGGCGCTATGTGACCCTCGCTTTTCCCGCAATCTGTCAGGATGACATGAGAAGTCTTTTAGACATATGGGGGTAGTGGTTGCAGGATGCAGAGAGACTCAGAGATTAAATTGATAAAAGCTAACACACTTATTTGAGTATAAAACATGCCTACAAAGGTGATGATATGGCTGTTGTCTGTTCAAATGGCATCACACACAGAAGAGTGCACCGGATAGTTTGTTTCCGATGATGTAGGTCGATGCACAAAAAAAGAAAAGGAAAGTTTGTTTCTGATGGTTGTTGGTAGACTTGGAGGTTGGAGGGATGGAGAAGTCGGGTCCCTAGTTCCTTCCATCCTTTTTCTGGAGATTTGGGTACTCTTGAATAATCTGGGTCTGGTCTCTGGGATGGTCGTTCTCAATCTCAACCTCCTCATGTCCTTGGGACTTTGGGCTTTTATATCATTTTCACCTGAAATTATGCTTTTTGGTTGGTTTGAACAGTGGTCTCCTAACACTCGATTGATCCCTGGTCTGTTGCCAGGGATGCAGTTTGGGCCGCAAGGTTGCTGAACACCCCCTTCTGGGTTGTACCCCTCCGAAATCAGGTCATGCCCCTCCCCAAGTGACAGTCCCATAAATTTTGGTTTAATGTGTTTTTCTGACTTGGAGAAGGTGCAGCTGGATCCAATCAGTCCCAACCATCGACCTCTCCAAAGGAGGGTCTGCAAATTTCCACTTTGAACTCCCTGTAAGATGACTATCAAACTCTCCCTGGTGGTCTATCCCTCTACCACTCCCAAGATATACATCCAGTTTGGGAATGTGACCATTAAATTGCATCACACCCTGATCCTGTTTACAAAATAAGTCGCCAATTTATTAGCCCTAGTTCGACAGCCAGTTTCCTGTTGGAGAGGGGGGTCACATATATAATTAATTTCTTTTTGAAATGTCAAAAATTAGATATTTCAAAACAGATCAACTTTATTACTAGAATAAATAAATGAATAACAACCGGTTGTTGTTCTAAGAAAACTATATAAATTAATTCATGTACATTGTAATAGTTGAAATGATGAATGAGCTGAAAGGTAAAAAAGAGAGAGCTTCCCGCAATATATATATACATATAATTTCATGCAGAGATAAATTGATGAGTCTGTCAAATAATTACTGATTATTACTGGGTTTACTGATCATATTGTGAAATCTTAGCATTGATATATAAAAGTTTTATTAATCCTTATTACAAACATATACATAATTAAAAATATATTCAAGTTTTGAATTTTCTTATAAAATGTTTGTACAAAATATAAAAAACCTGCTATATATATACTAATTGAAAACTTGACATTGCATTTTTATTAGAAGAAAAAACTTATCAGAGACAGTCCACAACTTTGTAAAAACAACAACATTTTTAATTTGAGATAGGTTTGTTGTTTTTAATTTATGACTCACCCTACAAAAACTACCCCAATAAAATGGAACAGACTTCATTCCACAAAACAGAATCTTTTCTATTCTAAAATATTTGTATTTACTAATAGATCTCTGTCTTTGCTTTATTTTTAATTTATAATTAATAATATATTTATTTAGTATCTCATGATAATGATTATTATAATTTTTTAAACAGTTGATAACATGTTCTGAAAATGATAGAACTAAGAAAATAATTACATTATTTTTGATATGTTAAAATAAATTATTTAAAAATGACAAAAGAGAAACAATGCATTTTGGATTATTATAAAGAAATAATTTTGTTATTAAGAGAAAACAGCAAACAGAATGATCATATCTTGAATTATCTAGGTATTCAAATTTCCAGAAATCTAAATAATAATGTATATAAATCACACAGAGGATATTTCTTTCTTAGTATAATGGATGGATGGCTAGAGATAAGTCAACAGAAAAAGCTATATTTGTAATAACAATTTTGCTCTTCACAAGGCTTGATTAATTGAAGATAAGAATGGTCCAGAAGAGTTGAAGCTATCAAATGAGACTTGATCTATATGACTCATGATAAATTAAGGGAGTCTGGATCAGATTCTTCTGTAGCAATTAATTGAGGTCCTATTGCTTAATTATTTGGCTAATGATTCAAAGAGAGTAAAATAGTTTTAGATATGGGATAAAAACAGTGAACTATGCTAACAGATTTTTCATATTTTATAAAAATTAGCATTAACTCAGTTGTGAAAAAACAGTTAGTAGAGATAATAATAGATAAAGTTACAATAATCTTGAAAGATAATTATGAAATACTCTGATTACTCATAGGTATATTATAATAATAATTATTTCTAATTTTAATAAAATTTATTTTTCAGTATCCAATTTATTTATTTATTGTAGCATAAGTTTTGAAATGTTTAAAAATTCTTTTGAACTGTATTAAATAATAAATTATTATTATATTTTGTTCCAAATTTGAGGATACCATTATCTATTGAAAATGCTTAATTCATATTAAATAGATGTAATACATAATATCCATTTTTGAAATGTAATTTACATAAAACATTATTGCAATTTAAAATAACTTAAGAGTAAACTCTTACATTGTTATTTTAAATTGCAATAGTGCAAATAAGCTTACATTAAATATGACTGATGTAACTGAAACTTTCCAAATGTGAAACTGATGAAATATTATATTTAATATAATATTTCAAGAAGGAATAAATGGATCAAGGTAGTGTTGACGAATGGATTAAAAAGCAATGTAAACAATTAATAAAACAGAATTTTATTGAATGAAGTTGAATGATACTTGTCATTCCACTAATTGTGTTCAACAAATGGAAACATGTTATACAATATATACATTCTATTCAATATAAATTTATGAATTTATTAATTGTGAATATTTAATTAAATTTTTGTTTAGATTTTACTGTTTTTGAAAATGATCAATTTTTTATTATCGGTTTTAATTAGGCAAAAATTGTTCTTAGGAAACAAATTCAGATATACTCACAATACACAATTATTACTTTATGCTTATAAAAAAAAATATCAAAAGTCAAATCATTTCAATTGGTAATTTTGGTAATTTTTCATCCGAAATACCGGATCAATAATAAAGGTTTTTTGGAAGTACAAAGGACATATTAAGGGAAAAAAATAGAGTTTGAAAATGGTCTTCCTACTTCGAATTTTATTTTAAAAGTGACTTTATTTTATTTGAATAAAGTTTATTTTTTCAATAAAATATGGAAAATATTAAAAGAGTAAAAACATGCTTTGACCTTGTTATTTACATCAAAAAATAACTTTTCTACTTGAGGTTTATTTTACTGATAGAATCATAAACGGAAATATTCGAATTCGATGCTTTACTTCAATTTTGAATTTACTCTCTTGTTTATCAAGATATGACTTCCGTTCTTTCTTTATTTACATATTTTATCGTGCATAACAACTGACATGTATAGAAGAGCTCTGGAAATTTTCAGATAGAAACATTATCTCCGACGCTATCAATTCTTCAGAAATTTTGTATAAAAAATTTGAATATCAACTCGTATGTGTACTACTAAATTTTCTGTGATTTACATCAATTTATGAGATAAATAACTGTAGAGTTTGAAATTTTGTTAAACTGTNCAAAAAACTAATGTCTAACATTGCCAGTTACTCAAAAGAAGAATTTATTATTGAAATTAGTGAAACTTTTTAAAGCTAGATTGTGTATATTTTAAATAATTTATTTAGTGTTTTTGGCGTAACATTAAATTATACTAATTATTATTATTTTAGTATGGATAATCAGTTCAATAAATCTGAGAATGAAAGAAGACCTAAATCCAGAGGACGAGGAAGAGGTTTTCGTCAAAACAGAAATTATTCAAGAGGAGGAAATGAAAGAAAATTTCCTGCTAATAGTAATGCATTTCATAGAAATTTAAATGATTCAGAAAGAAATAGGTCTACAGTTGTTCATGATAGTAAGTTTATAAATTTTTTTATATTTATTGTTTAAATTTATTAACAATATTACAAGTAATGAAATTCTTTTGAAGTAGTTTCTCATATATCAAATATAATTTCATTTAATAAAATAAAGAATAAAAATATTTCGTTTTACTTTATTATTAAATTTGGGGTTATGACTTTTCATACATAAACAATAACTCTCTATTATTCACTAAAACTTTTGTATAATAATCAGTCAAAATGCATTGATTGATTGTGTTTTGAAAATTATTTATTTAGAAAAAATTAGTGTCATAATCATTTATTCTTCTACTTCTTAATGCAGTATAATTAATTATGTTAATAATAACTTGCATATTTAATATAATCTGAATTATGATGCTGAAGACAAATAATTGTGAAAGATGCCAAAAGTTAGTGACTTTTAGTTAAGTAAATAACTGTAATTTCTAATAAAATTTATATGTAAGGAATTTATTTTTTCATCTTTATTTAAAAGATGGGAATAAAACATCTGAAGAAAATTTCAATAGAAAATTTGAGGATGCATGTGCTAAAATTCAAGCATCACTTCAGCGATTTGTTAATGTACCAGAATTAGAAGATTCGTCAGAAGAAGAAGAAGAAATAGAAAAAGATAGTATTCTGAAAAATGTTCTAGGAGCTTATGGAGGTAATATATAAATATACTAGAATTATAATTATATTCCACAGATATTTTTGTTAATGGTTTTGAATTAATTATTGGAAAACTAAGTAGAAAAACTTCAATTTTTAGAATGAGTAAATATTATTTTTAATAGTATATTAAACATTTGTAATTATTATAAATAATGCAGATTATATTCATGACTTTATAATCAAAAATTGGTTCTTTCTTTCTTCTTCTACTTGTCTTCTTTCTTTGTATTGTTTTCAAAGCAGATTTTTCCATCTCTTCTTTAGACTATGCTGTATCTATAGTCATTTAATCTATATTTTATTATATAGCTTGACCATCATGAATTTTGTTATTAAATTTATTATAAAAGTAAAACTCTTTTGTTTATATACACTGCAAATGTATAGGATAACAGAACCATTAGTTTTAGTCAGGGATGCACAACCTTTTGTGAAGAAGGGTCAAATTAGGATTAAGTTTACTGACTGGGGCCGGACCTCCAAGCGATTAATGCGATGGCTGAGATTGGATGCTGGCGGCAATCTTCTTGATGTCTGGTGTAATGGCAGATGTTGAAACAACCAGCAGATTTTCCAAATTCTCTTTGGTTAACCTGTTCCGTGTTTTGCACTTGTTTAAATTCATAAGCGAAAACGCNAGACAAGTATCGGGCAAATATGGAAATGATTACAGTTATAGCGTGATGGCTCATTACGTAAAGCCAACAAAGGACGTTAAAATGCGTCCCTTGGCCTATAAAAAAGGCGAGAAAAGGCACCCTATTTGTAGTTTACCTGTTGTAAAGGGATTCTATATCACTAGAGATGCTTTCACGTTACAATTGAAGACTACATGAACAACTAACCAAGTTTGAAAGGGGAAGGATCATCAGGTTAAGAGAAGCTGGATCAAATAAAATAAAGTCACTCAAATAAAAGGACGGTTCCGCTGTAGACTTGAAAACATCTCACGAAACAGCCCGTCACCTAGGCCGTTCTGACAACACTGTGAGGAGGTGATAAGACAAGTGGAAGTGGACGACAAAGAGCTCGTTTAGACGGTGTCCAGGTTTAGGATGCCTTCGGCAGACCGCTAGCACGAGAGGATTGCTAGTTCTCTGACAAGCATGCACACAACCAACCGTTGTCTGCTATTCGAATACAAGTTGAGCCATCATTACAGGCCTCTGTATATATTCAAGACTCCTGGGTGAGGAACATTTGGTATCGCGGTGGCCATTACATGTGCTACCGTTGGCAGCCACCCACCATCGCTTCCGTTTGGAGTGGTGTTGCTCCCGGTGGGATTGGACTGCAAGGAATGAAACGAATCCAGATTCAGCTTGGGCAATGACGACGGCCGTGTTCGTATCTGGAGGCTCGTGGTGAACGCCCCAATCCTGCCTGCACTTTGGTGCAGCACATCCCCCACAGCTTGTGTGATGGTCTGGAGTGCCATCACAGAAGGGGTGCCATCACTGTCATTTCTACTAGTAATCCAAAGAATCATGACAGTCCAGCGGTATGTTAGTAACATCCTGCAGCCAATGTGTTGCCTCCCATGACAGGGCTCCAAGAGCCATTTTCTAACAGGACAATGCTGGACCACACACAGTATCAGTATGGTCCAGCAGGATGCCACACGACTGTCTCCTCCACAGTTCCACTCTTTCCTGGCCTGCCCGGTCCCTTGATTTTTCACCGATCGAATATGTCTGGGATTATCTGGGACGTTACGTTGGACAACTTAGGAGTTTGTTCGAACTAGACAACCGTTTGCAGCAACTGTGGATGGAGATGTCACAAGAACTGTATACAGCACCTGTATGCTTCCAATCTCACTCGTATCATCATTTTTGTATTCACGCTACCAGTGGCTTAACAGGGTACTAAAACTGTCCTTCATTTGTAGTTTTTCCTGCAATAAATGATCCTATTGCTTTTATTTTGTAATCACTTATGTCACATTTACACTCATACGTGTATAATTTCGTTCAATTCACACAACTCTTTCTTGATGCACTAATTTTTATGGCAATTACTGTATACATATGTATTAAAAATATTAAAAATTAAATTAATTATTTAAAAAATGTAGAACGAAGTATTTACTAAATATAAATGAAGACAATGCGAAAATAATTTCAGTTTTTTATATGCCCTTTACAACTACAGGAACGTAGCCGAAACACCTCTAATTATAGGTTTATTATTTTTCTTTTGATGTAAGCTTGTTTCTGTAGCTAACGTATAAGAAGACTAAAGTTATTTTCTGCTTGTTTTTATTTATATTATTTTGTAACCAAGTTAATTAAAACATGATANAAAACAGTTGGGTGCTAATGACTTTGTGAAAGGGAAAAGTTCTATACTTAGAAACTTGGAAAAAAGGGATTTGGCCTGTACCGTCTGGCGGGCCACATAAACATTGATAAGGGGCCGTATGTGGCCCACGGGCCACAGGTTGTGCACCCCTGTTTTAGTAAAAAGTTAAAAATATCAGTGCTCATTCTGATTATCTCTCTCTGTGATTGTTTTAATGATAAAATGAATCAAAATGGTGGCAGGATTGAATGTATTCCAGAACTAACAGGATTGTGCATGAAAGAAAAAATTTTGAATTAAAAAATATCATTATTCAGTCATTATGAATACTTTGCATCATGTTGTTCAAATTAACATATTTCAATTATACAAATATCTCTAATCCTGTCATATGCAATAATGCAAGATCTGTCAAGAAAACAATTATAAATAGACAGTTATTAACTTTTGAATATTTATTAACAAATTTTTATGTACAAGATTTCAAACAACATAGTTTTCTAATATTATTTTTAATTGTCTACTTGGACTTAATTTATTAATAGGACATAATCTGGTGTTTGAAGATTGACACAGCAATGAGAAACTATTACTACAGGTGATATAATTACTGCAGAAACTATTACTACAGGTGATATAATAAAGAAATTTTGTTCTTTCCTGAACTAACTCTCATTGCTGTGTCAATCTTTAAACACCGGATTATGTCCTATTAATAAATTAAGTCCAAGTAGACAATTAAAAATAATATTAGAATTAAAAAGGACAGTAAGGCTTTTACAATTGACATAGTTTTCTATTTATGTTTGGAAGATGACATCATGCAAATGACAAATGACCCACATTTATGTATAAATACTTTTCATATCTTTGAGTATAAATGCACAACATTTTTAGGTATGTTATTGATTGCATGATGAATTTTTGCTTTAACAGTTTCAATATTTTGTGACAGATTGTGGTATATGAAAATTGTTAATGCAAAAACTTGTCACACAATGAACAAGAATATGCTGTCACTCTATGCATGATATACATCAAAGATGCGAAAAGTATACATAAATGCGAGTCACTTGCATGATGTCATCTTCAAAACATACATAGAAAAGTATGTTGCTTGAAATCTTGTACATAAAAATTTGTTAATAAATATTTAAAAGTTAATAACCATCTATTTATAATCACCCATTTTTCCTGTTGAATTCTATATTCATTTTCCTTTTGACTAAATTAATTAATTATTATGTAAAGAAACTGCATAATCTGTTTAATTAAATGTTAGTTTTCTGAATTTGATACAAATAAAAATTTTAAATAGAAGCATTCAAAAGTAATTATTAAAGTTATTTTACAGTGTTTTAATACAGAAAATAAAATACAATAATTGATTTTTATTTAACATGAATTATTATAAATAAAAAATTGTTTAAAGTTTTAACCAAATATATTTAAATATGTTGAATATTTTATTAATTATAGATAGTACAAAAAATGATGATTTGCAAAGAACACACCAGTTTCTGCTAGACACTTTGAATGCTGGTGCTTGTATTTGTCTTATTTGTATTGAATCTGTAAAAAGGAGTGAATCTGTAAGTAAAAAGTTTTCATTTTAACTTGTTATTAAATTTCCTTCCTTATATAGGCTGCAGAGAGAAAATTTTTGCACTGTTAATAATAATAATTCAAAAACTGACTAAAAAGTTATAAATATTAGATTTGATGATTTTATACATTTAAAAAAGATAAACTTATATAAAGTAAATTTTAATGATAAATGTTTATTTTTTTTAATTGATATTTTTAAATGTGTAAATTTTATTGATGAATAGAATTACAAATTTGTAAATTGTTTTGAAAATTGCCGTTATTATTATTTTTACTTTTAAACTATGATTTAATTTTCTACTGCATTAAAATACAATAAATAGAAATATTTCTTTCTCAAATCGTGAGTTATTTTTAAAGTTATTATTGGAAATCCTCATTAGTTTAAAATTCAAGGGATGAAAAAATCATGACTTCAAATTATAGAGTTTTGAATTATCCAAGATTTACATATATCTGTGCAATATGCCAAATGCCATGTAACTGATGTAATCTATTAATTAAGCAAACAGAACACGGAATGCTATTTTCATTAATTAATAATAATAATATAAATGTGAAGATAAACAGCACATGTCCGGTGAGAACTACAGGTTGCCAGATAGGTTTTGTAAAAAGTAAAGCAGAATTCCTTGAAATGTCGTCCAAATTACAGTTAATGTTACCTATGGTTCCAAAATGGCGGCACTTTGGTTAGGTTCATTTCATATCCATTAGATTAGCTACATTTTTAGTAGACTTTTTTTATTATTATTATTTATTTTGTTCAAGAACTACCGTGAATCAATAACTAGTGACGTTTGGCACTCAGCTGCATGCCAGTGGCTTCTCCCCAGGAGGGAGTCCATCTGGACCATGAACAGTCAGAAGCACAGCCATTTTGGAACCATAGATAACATTAACCAAATTACTTTAAAAGTGGTCCAAAAAGTAGTAAGTTGTCCAAATCTAGTAGCCTAGAGCCCTACAAATATTTCAATCTACGACTGGTAGCCCAATCTTGCAATCCTGAAAACCAGTCGGATTTTATGAGATAAGTGAAAAAGGGTAAGGTGACACCCAAAAACATGTACTGTAAAAGCAAAGCTATATTCATCAGATTAGAGTTGTTCTTGGTCTATTGTTCTTTTGAAGCATGGAGGCACTTTGATCTAAACAAATGAGTTAACATATGCATATCACAGTTTGGACAGAATTTTCACTTCAAATTTTGAAGTAGCTGTATTTCAAGCTAACTGAATTCCTTAACATGTATATCTCTGTATCCCCAGTCGGGACAAAAGTATAGTTACAAACTAAGAGTTTCCAATTAATAAGGATTTCTTGCACAAAAATTAAATGTTAAAATTTTTTGACATTTTATTAATGATTTTTGATTATTTATTTAATTTTTACTGTTTATTTACCATAAGTTGACTTCAAAATATCTTGTTAAAGATTCTTTCAATTGTTTTATTTATTTATTTATTTCGGGGCTGTGGAGTCGCATAAAAATCTACCGACTCCGACCAGGAGCGGACTTGTTACCAAAAGAAACCCGGAAATTCTGATGTCATCACGTAACTTCAGAATAAAAGATTCAATAAATAGAGTTCTAATAAAGATAGAACATAGAAACTTTTTATTCCAAAGTTAAAAGACTCCTCTAAGTACAGTAATATATAAATATGTATTCGATAATTTTTACTTTTCCGGCTATTATATATAACAGAGGGAAAGTGTATCGCTCGGTCAAAGAATGACCCCTCCCAAATTTTTACATTTTTGGACTCAGGGCACCTTGAAATTTCATAATATGCAAAAGATTCGAGGTTTTTTCTTTGTGTGGATGTTAGACTGTGGGGGGCATGACAGGGTGAGCAAAATCATTGTTCACCCTGTTTGAAGACTAATAATTTCTGTGGTCAGTGTGGTTAGAATCATATGGCTTACACAGCTGTTAGTTATTAAGCGTCAAAGTGGTTGAACTAAATCGTGTTCCCATTTACATTGTAACATCTTAGACGAGAACATCTTAACGGGTTTTACTGTACTATTATAAAATGACAAAAAAGCTTACTTTAAGGGTAGTGATGAGTTTTATTTTATTTTTTAATTTTGAACGCTAATAACGTGTAAAATATTCATTAAGAGATATGACACATGACCCCTTTTATGTCTTCACCCTGTCGACCTTTAATTAAGAACCAAAATTTAATAGTATTAAGGCCCCTTTATACGCAAGCTACAGTGCCACATTTTGTTTCTTAAACTTTACCCATTCTGAGATGTTGTTTAATATCTCAGAACAGAAAATAAAGAAATTAAACAAATTAGACGCCAACACACACGTGCGCACAAATTTTTCCCCTTTTATTGACTTTTTTGAGGGGTTCGGGAGGTCTCTAAACGTGTAGATTTGCAAAAAAAAAAAAACTTTGAGGATCAAATTTGACACAATTCCAATACTTTTCCATTTTATATACATAGCAAGTTGGTAAGTAAAAAAGGAGTCGGAGTCAGCGGATTTTTTGAGACTGACTCTGGCTAAAACACCAAAACTCCACAACTCCGACTCCACAGCCCTGATTTATTTATAAAATCACTCATTAATGCATTGATTTAATGTTAAATGTTTTCGTTTATATTTTTAAATAAACAATAAATAATATAAAATACATGAAAAAGAATCTTTTAATGGTGAATTCAGTTTCATAGTTACATATAAGCTGCCTTATTTAAAAAAAAGGCACTTTTTTTATACATATAAAAAAAGATACTCTTTTACTTTTTATATAATTAAATGTAAGGGAAAAAAAATAGATAGGTATGTATTTAAATATTATCAATTAATCTTTTTATAGATAAAATTTTGAGAATTTTTTGTTTGGTGCCATTTAAGATATAGTTATCAAACCTGAAAAAATTTATATTTTTTATGCAAACAATTACAATAAAAATATTTATGAAACAGTGAATAGATTTAAAAAGAATCACAAAAATAAATTGGAATGTAATTTAATCAAATTTTTTTATTTGAAAAATGATTTTACATATATATATCAATTAATTTTCCCATTAAATACGTTTTTAAATTATATCTTTTCATAGGTTTGGTCTTGTAAAGGATGTTTTTGCATTTTTCATTTACATTGTGTTCAGAAATGGTCTAAAGATAGTATATATCATCAAACTATAGCATTTGAAAATTATTCATTTCAGCCTAAAGAATTATTTTGGTGTTGGTGAGTATTTTCTTTATAATTTATAAAGTTTATTTTTAATTTTTAACTATTACTATTATTTTTTTATGCTTATATTTATTAATTTATAATAATAAAATACTGTGCAAGGTAAATTTGCACAAATAAATTATACAGTAGATCCTCAATTTAATTAATGGACCTCAATGTAACAGATTTCAGATTTAACAAAGACTCCAGCAACCATATCTTACATTTCTTATTACATTTGTTTTGGCCAGTAAGTAAGGAATAAAGGGGAGTAGGCAGCATGTTCACAGGAAATTGTCCTGATTCGTGAGCTGCCTAAGACTGACAAGTTGGTTTTGATTCTATCTATTTGCTTTGTTTTATCTTATTTTGTCTTAAGTTATCAAGCATTAATTGCACACAGTGCTTCCATGACTTGCAAATTTTTACTTTCTTGGTTAAGAAATTTTGTAATCCATACTATTTAAAATGGCATCAACTGATACAGAACTTAAATGAAAGTGTGTGAACTTAAATGTGGCACAGAAATTGGAGCTAGTTGAAAAATTAGAACACATCTCAGTAGTACAAATTCATATTTTTCCCCATAAATTCCACAAACAGTTTCTGATATCCATAAATCAAAAGCCAAATTGCTAGTTTTCTTTAAAATACAATATAGAAAGTTCCAAATGTGGTTTTACAGATGCTTTATTTTTCAAACTATACAGATTTGTTGTTTATTATAATTTAATAAATTTATCCGTCAGTTTTNCCATGACTTGCAAATTTTTACTTTCTTGGTTAAGAAATTTTGTAATCCATACTATTTAAAATGGCATCAACTGATACAGAACTTAAATGAAAGTGTGTGAACTTAAATGTGGCACAGAAATTGGAGCTAGTTGAAAAATTAGAACACATCTCAATAGTACAAATTCATATTTTTCCCCATAAATTCCACAAACAGTTTCTGATATCCATAAATCAAAAGCCAAATTGCTAGTTTTCTTTAAAATACAATATAGAAAGTTCCAAATGTGGTTTTACAGATGCTTTATTTTTCAAACTATACAGATTTGTTGTTTATTATAATTTAATAAATTTATATTCATATAGAATATAAATTTGTATAAATGTATTAAAGCTGATTTTGCATTACAATTATACTCCTGATTATTCAAGCTAATCACCTGTAATGGAGACACAGATAACACAGAAACTCAGATAATCTGCAAGTCTGTTTTAATGAAAGAATCAAGTTTTATTTTATTTAGTTTTTAATTTCATATAATTTAATATGAAATTAAAAACTAAATAAAAAAAAATTTTATTCCTAATGTATAAACTATTATATTAAATTTATAATATAATAATTTATACATTATGAATAAAATACTTTTTGAGAATGATAATTAATTATTTTAAATGTAGTCAGAATTGAATAAAACTTTCAATGTAAACAGAAAATTCAGAAAAACTTATCAAACTAGCACCTTATAGTTCAGTATCAATTCCTTGTTTTATTAACCAAGAATGACAGGTTGCCAGCTAGATATCATTATAAAGTGTCATTAATTTTGCAGTATTAGTGATTTATTGATAAGGAAATTATTCAAAATATTTTCTTCAAATAATTTACTTAATAAAAAAAAAAATAGTTTACACATAAATAAAGCCATATTGCTCAAGAATCAACTGCCCTTACCATACTTGTTAGGCCATTTAATTTATACCTTGATGTTCTGGAAGTAGTTTTGATGCTTAACATACCATTTTAAATATCAACAGTTAACAATCAGATTTTTTTAATGCTAATATTTTATATTACTGACAAATTTTTATTGAGATGTAGGCATGCAAGGATAATCAAGAGTATACAGTATTTGTATTTATATTTCAATTTGAAGAATAAAAATTATTAAAAAATGCCCTTTTCTTTCTGACATTTGATTTTATGGACTTTCTGCATTGACAGACACTCATTCACCCCTATTGGTTCATTAAATTGAAGGTTTGCTGTATTTAAATATATATAGGCCTATATATGAAAGGTTTCAATAAATATTTTTCTTTTATTATGTTTTTAAATTTCTTTTCATCTGTCAATTATTACATTTGAGTTGAAATTTCAAATTATGATATAAAAAGCAGTTCAGTTTTAATTGTAATAATTTTATAATAACCAATAATTTTTTCTATAATAGTCTAAATTATTTTATTTAATTTAAAATTAATATATTATTAAATTTAATACAAGATGGTAGCTTAACTGCCCACCTTTAGTTCAAATTACAGAGTATCTTAGTATCTTAATGAACTCAATTAGCTAAATTCTAGCCCAGTAATTAATCCAACCTTATACTGAAGAATCTCATTTAAATGATCTCTCAGGCTGCCGAAAATCATCTGTTGTTTCTAAAATCCATTATATCACATGGATTTTCCATATACCCAGGAAAATATCCATAATTCAAAAAAATTTCTGTTTTTTTAACCCCTTCATATAACAAACCAGTACTTGAAATTATTCAGTCTCTTGAGATCTCTTTCTTTATCCTATAAAAATATGTATGTTTGTAACATGTGTATATATGCTGTATATGATCATATATTATGCCATACATGTGTACGACAAAGCTGACTGAAATTGTACATACTGTAGCACAAAAATAAGCAAATTGTGTATGTTCATTAAGACTTCATTTGACTTCATGATCTATTAAAAAAGCTCATACATCTTTGTTTGTTTTGATGTATTTTTCTGCCAATAGAATATAACAACTGCTTGGTATTAGCAATGTCACATACAGCCTGTTCATTTATGCTAAAACTCATCAGGAAGGTCTTTACAACTTAGAAAGACTCAATGGCCTTGCCTTGCTAAATTTTGGCACTACACTTGGACTACTGTCAGAATATTCACTAAGTGGCTCCTCAGTTGTATCGGTCTGCTGACTCTCTTCATACAATTCTTCAATTGCATGTATCCCAGATATAACAAGTACATCATCAAACTCTACAAATTTCCAGAAACACCAAAGATGAACAAAATGTTGAAAAAGTGCAAAGTTTACAATAGATTGGGGATAGAAAAATTCTGTTTTGAGTAATGGATCTGCTAAAAGGAGGTAAAATTACATTGATTTGGCAGAAAATGAAAAAAATCCATTATTCTGAGAAATTCATTGTTCCAAGATCCATTAAAACACGATTCTACTGTAATTTTTAAGTTTGAAATTTTGTTTAGTTGCAATCATTTTTTACCTTCAGGTAATTTCAAATTATGTTCAGATTAATATTCTGCAATATTAAAATGCTAGTGAAATTATGATTACATATTTTGTTTTATTTATTTTCTTTTGTAGTCCAAAATGCAGAAAAGAGTACAGTAGGAAAGAACAACCTCAAGATTATTTTTGTTTTTGTGGAAAGAAAAAAAACCCAGAAGTTGATTTATGGCTCATTCCTCATTCTTGTGGACAAAAATGCAAGAAAAAATTAGAACCTCTATGTGGTCATGAATGTTTGCTTCTTTGTCATCCAGGTAATTTAATAAAATACAATTGAATCTGCATATGTCAAATTTTCATCATTATTAATGTGTCTTAAGTTTTCTTCTCTTATAATTTAAAATTTTAGATTTAAAAAAGGAGCCCAATCTTTTTTATCTTTTATTTTAAAAAAAATACAATAGCAAATTAAAATCATTTCTGAAATCTGAAATTATTTTCATCAGTAAAATAAAAATTCTTGCACATTGGAATATTTTATCTTTTTATCATAAACTAATGCATGATTAGAAATAAATTACATACAAATTTTTGTTCATATTTTATAAATTATCATTATTTTTTTACTCTTTTCACCCTGAGAATACTAACACATCCTTTTTTTTTTACCATATCTATCATGGGTTTGGCCAAGCCTTACAATGAGTGGTAACTGGATGATGAAGGACAATGCCCAATGTATTCAGGGACAGACCACCCATATAAAATTTTTGAATTTTCTGACCTGGACTCAAACTTTGGTCCCCAGAGCAACAGTTGCCATCTTTACTGCTTCAGCCATCCAGCTACCCAGAATAAATTATTTATATGTAATAGGAAAAATGTACAAAATTCTTTATTTATGGAAAGAAAATAATTTGAGCTCTTTGATATTAATAAACATTATTGCTGTTGATTTGTAAGTCAGCTACTATTATCTGAGAATAAATATAAATTACATCTTATTCTATTTGAAGCATATGTTTTAATATACAAAATAATAGTTTAATTATTAACTTGTTTTCTGTAAGAGCTGTTACTAAATTTTAATCACTTTTATAATTTTAAATCTGCAAAATTTTGTAAAGATATTACTTATCAGCAAAAATATTTAAAATGTGCTGAGAGAAATAATCTAAATATAACACTCATCTTATTGATGATATAATCTCTGAGTTATAAATTTAACTAAGCTGCTTGTAAAACAATGCTTGTTTTACAAGCAACTTATTAAGTAAATAATTCTTGCTTATTTGATTATTATAAAATCAATAAAAAGTTTTGATTAATGTGTCATAACTTAAATGGTATGTTTGCATTTAATCATATATTGTAATTCATTAATTGTTATGTTCATATAAACAGATCTTGGAATTTTATGACCAATTTATTCTTTATTCTGTAAATGGATAATAAAATGCTATTCTCAATTATTATATCTTTTCCTTCATTTAATATTCCTGATATATTTTTTGAAGTTTATAATAATTAAATTAATCAAGTAATTTTTCAAATATTCTCTCTTTTAATGTTTATGATTAATCAAATCATATTTGTAAAATGATTTTTAGTAGATCTTTTAATAGAGTAAAGCATTATAAGAATTTTCAGTCATTCACTGTCATGTTTACTACACTTCATTTATAATCTTAGAAGTTACAGATGACTGAAATAATATAATTTTATATATATTAAATTCTGATAAATATATTATTAAAGCATATATAAAAATATGCTTTAATAATATATTTATCAGAATTTAATATATATAAAATTATATTATTTCAGTCATCTGTAACTTCTAAGATTATAAATGAAGTGTAGTAAACATGACAGTGAATGACTGAAAATTCTTATAATGCTTTACTCTATTAAAAGATCTACTAAAAATCATTTTACAAATATGATTTGATTAATCATAAACATTAAAAGAGAGAATATTTGAAAAATTACTTGATTAATTTAATTATTATAAACTTCAAAAAATATATCAGGAATATTAAATGAAGGAAAAGATATAATAATTGAGAATAGCATTTTATTATCCATTTACAGAATAAAGAATAAATTGGTCATAAAATTCCAAGATCTGTTTATATGAACATAACAATTAATGAATTACAATATATGATTAAATGCAAACATACCATTTAAGTTATGACANAATTTAGATTACTTTTTTTGTACTATATTAAAAACTAAAATTTATTTGTTTGTAAGCTTAAAATAGATTTTTATTAACCATATATTATTTAAAATGCTTTCCTAGTGATAAGTAGATTCGGAGACAGGTAAATTCAACTTACGTCGTTTTCCTGGAACCAATTACCGACGTAAGGCGAGGTATACCTGTATATACAGTATACACTACATTAAAATAATCATACTCTGCAACACTTTTATAAGTGCTTGTTTCTTTTATTTATTATTAGTATTCTAAAATTGTTTTTAAATTAATCTGTTTATAAATTAAATTTATTTATTCACAAACTTAATTGAAATTTTAAATTTTATATGAATATTGGTTACATTTTATAAGTTAAACAGTTTATGTAATTTATTCTTAGTGTCTTCAGATGAGAGTGAAAAGATGTCGTTGTGGTGTAAAAGAGAAATCAGTTCCTTGTTCTAAAGAATATTTATGTGAAACAAAATGTAAAAATATTAGAGATTGTAAAAAGCATCCTTGCAGTAGAAAGGTAAAAGAAAATTTGATAAACATTTAAATTTTTAATATATAAATGGTTTAGATGATTTTTGTTTAATTCCTACTCAATATCTGTTCATTGGCTTAATGTTAAATGTGATCAAGTAAATATTTTCATTTTGTTATAATTTTATTTCTTTTTAAAAGTTTAGAAAAATTAATAAGCTTTATAGAATATTATAATTTTTCTGAATCTAAGTGACATAACAATCATGGAAACAGCTCNTGAAAAGATGTCGTTGTGGTGTAAAAGAGAAATCAGTTCCTTGTTCTAAAGAATATTTATGTGAAACAAAATGTAAAAATATTAGAGATTGTAAAAAGCATCCTTGCAGTAGAAAGGTAAAAGAAAATTTGATAAACATTTAAATTTTTAATATATAAATGGTTTAGATGATTTTTGTTTAATTCCTACTCAATATCTGTTCATTGGCTTAATGTTAAATTTTTTTATGTTGAAGAAATTAAATTTTATTGGACTGCAATATTCAGATTGCAAACCTTTACATTCCCACTGTCCTCCATTTATCCTTTTCAATCTCAAAAACAGCATTAGAGAGATGAAAATCGAGACCACATATGGAAAGCTTAGGGACTGGAGGCTCGAATTAACTATATATGAACTTCCAGTCTGAATCAGAAGTCATGCGATTTTTTTAAATTAAAAGATGATTAAAAATTAGTCTCTCATTGTGATAATATCACAATAATACACATTCAATTTTTGCTTAAATGTCTTATGATTTCAATATAGTTTTTGATTATCATTTTAGATATAGTTTAACTATTAATGGTTGATTAATAGTTATTTAAAACTTTAAATTTTAAAATAAATAATTTTATTTTTTTATATAAATATTTATCATCTGAAATAATGAGCAAAAATTTAACTTTTTAAGCAAACATTTTTTAGTTTCTTTAAAAATCATATAATTATTGTAGTATGATGATTATTTATTACATAGTACACTGGAATTAGTGGCAAAAATCTTACATTTATTATTATTGAACAATTAAATTCAAAAAATATTTTACATATATTGATAGCAATGCAGTTACCTTGTACTGAAGACATTCCGACTTGTGGAGATACTTGTGAGAAACTCTTATCATGTGGAATTCATCATTGCAGTCAAAGATGTCATGTTGGATCATGTGATCAAGTAAATATTTTCATTTTGTTATAATTTTATTTCTTTTTAAATAGATTTAGTATGTAATTGATAAAGTTGTACATGAAAAATAATGATTTTTGTCATTTTTGCATATATATATATAANCGAGTACATTTAAAAAAAAAAAAAAAAAAACTTTAGAAGTTAATCTAGTATCAAAAATGTTTGATTCAGCATGACAGTCTTCAGAATAACACTACACAAAAGTGCCAGTGCTGCCAGCTAAAATACACATACCAACAAAAAGAATATTGGAGTAGCCCAAGACATAGCCAAAGGTTGTAGTGCCACAGCACTAGTGGAAATTTAAATTTGCTGACTGGAATGCGTTCGGTTAACCGATGTTTCAGTTGACTGGCTTTCGGATAAATGATGCTCTACTGTAGTTGAAAATGAAATGATAATTATGAAAATTGCAAATTAGAGTTACCTTAATAATTTATTAAATTTAACATTAATCAATCAACATTTATTTGCTATGGCTTTCGCCTTTACAAAGGGGGTTACAAAAATCATGCAACATTAACATTAATGTAAATTTTGTTTTATGTAATCATTTTGTTAAATTTTAAAATTAGACAAAAATGCTACAATGCGACAAATACTAAAAAATTTTTTATTAGAATATAAAAATTTATATTACAAAATATTANAACTTGTTTTCTGTAAGAGCTGTTACTAAATTTTAATCACTTTTATAATTTTAAATCTGCAAAATTTTGTAAAGATATTACTTATCAGCAAAAATATTTAAAATGTGCTGAGAGAAATAATCTAAATATAACACTCATCTTATTGATGATATAATCTCTGAGTTATAAATTTAACTAAGCTGCTTGTAAAACAATGCTTGTTTTACAAGCAACTTATTAAGTAAATAATTCTTGCTTATTTGATTATTATAAAATCAATAAAAAGTTTTGATTAATGTGTCATAACTTAAATGGTATGTTTGCATTTAATCATATATTGTAATTCATTAATTGTTATGTTCATATAAACAGATCTTGGAATTTTATGACCAATTTATTCTTTATTCTGTAAATGGATAATAAAATGCTATTCTCAATTATTATATCTTTTCCTTCATTTAATATTCCTGATATATTTTTTGAAGTTTATAATAATTAAATTAATCAAGTAATTTTTCAAATATTCTCTCTTTTAATGTTTATGATTAATCAAATCATATTTGTAAAATGATTTTTAGTAGATCTTTTAATAGAGTAAAGCATTATAAGAATTTTCAGTCATTCACTGTCATGTTTACTACACTTCATTTATAATCTTATAAGTTACAGATGACTGAAATAATATAATTTTTATATATGCTTTAATAATATATTTATCAGAATTTAATATATATAAAAAGAAATGTAAATCAGTTGAAAAATATGAAATTCTGTTGTATAAAGTGTTCCAAGCATGTTAGGTTTTTTATGTTCAAAAAATTATTTTTGCTATAAAATGTTTAAAAGTTTGCTATAAATGCAAATTTTAAACATTTTATTTGAACTTTTTTATTACAATAATGAGTGAAAAAGTTGTTAAATGCAAAGCAAAACATCAAAAGTATTTTTATGTTGTGCTTTGTTCTGAATACAGTAATATACTATCTCAAATTTTAATATTAATTTTTCTTAGTATATTTTTTGAAGTTGTTATGAATTGTTATGAATCAAAGAAAAATTTAAAATTTCATATATAATACATATATGAAATTTTAAATTTTTCTTTGAATTAATAACAATATATCATAAGTATTTTTATAACTAATGTTTAAAAAATGTTGTTGTTTTTTAGGTCCTTGTCCTCCATGTCCTAAAACTGTGAATGTGTCTTGCTTTTGTAAAAGGGAGAAACCAAAAATTAGACGATGTAGTGATAAAAATTGGTCATGTGGAAAAATCTGTGATAAATTACTTAGTTGTGGACAACATAAATGCAGCCAGTCATGTCATGGTGGTAATTATAATTTTTAAATAGTAAAGTTTAAAAATTTATTATAAAATACTTTTCCTGTATATTCTAAATAAAAAAATTTTACTCTGTTTAGATGATTGTGAAACTTGCCCTCATCAAAGTAACCAAAAATGTATGTGTGGTAAAGAATTATGTTTAAGACCATGTGCAAGTCCTGAATGGCAGTGCAACACAGTAAGTAGTTTACAAAAAAGTTATATCATTCAAATTAAAAAAAAATTTTTTTTTAGAAATTGTTGTTTATTGTCTGTATAATATATTTTGTGTGCCTGGAATCTATCTGTTTATTTTTTTATCACAAACTTACCAATCTTTACGATTGTTTTATTTTTAAACTTTTGCTGCAAAGGTTAAAATTTTTACATAGAATCAGACTATAATCATTTTTTTTATATTAATTTATCAAATATATCATATATATTAATTATCTGTGCATTATAAGTGGCTCTTGCTAGGACTTATCACACACTATTGAGAAATCCCTTAGAGATAGATGAACATTATTTATTTGTAACCACAGTATGCATTTTGGGCAGACAAGCTCTCTTCAGCCATTACAATCACTAAATTACAAGCATGTAATCCACATATATCAACAATTTTCCATTAACCATTTGGTTAAAGGAAATGAAAAGAATTTAAATTTTTGTCATTTAATCTATATCTATTGTTTAGTGATTGTAGCAACTGAAGAAGGACAGCTTGTCTGCCCAAAATGCATACCATAGTTACAAATAATTAATGTTCTTCCATCATAAGTGATTTCTCAATAGTGTGTGATAAGTCCTATCAACAGTCATTTATAATGCACAGATAATTAATAATAGTAGGCAAGAGCGTAATATTAATACATCAACCAAAGCCAAATATTATCAGGCTAGAAACGGCTATAATNCATACATGGTTTCCATGTTTTATAGAATGTTTCTGATTAGTTTATTTGTTAAATGAATGTTAATTATTTATTTAAATTAAAATTTCAGAGGGTTTATGAAGATATATACGTAGTACGATTCAAAAGTTCGGGGACTTTGCTTAAAATTCCTTACCTTAAAAAGTTTATATTGCCGATGCACAACCACCTTCAAAGTAATCACCTTGGGCAACAATACACTTTTGCTAGCACTCGTATAACTGCTGGAAGCCATTTTTTTGAAATCTCCCATAAGGCCTCCTGTGATGCTCCTCTCATCTCATCTGATGACACAAAACAGCGTCTCTGCAAATGCTTTTTCATTGATGGAAACAAATAAAAATCACACGGGGCTAAGTCCAGTGAATGTGTGGGGTGTGGAAGCACATTAATTTGAGTTTTGGTGAGAAACTGTATGACCATTTGGGACCATGTGCAGGTGTGTTGTCATGCAGAAGGTACCAGTCTCCACTTTGCCAGATCTGTGGCCATTTACGATGAATGGATTCCCTCAAATGGCATAAAATGTCTAGATAATGCTCCTTGTTTACTGTTCTGCCTTTGGGAATAAATTCTGAACAATTCCCTTGAGAATCAAAAAATACCTCCATCATGACTTTCCCTTTGCTTGGTGCATGTTAAGATCTTCCGTTAAAGTATGCTGGCAACTAGTCTTTGATAAGTGAGTAGCTGCAGCGATTTTTGCAAACACATTGAGAGACCAACTCAACATTTTTCTCGTTTTGTGAAGTTGAAATTCGGCCAGAGCGTTCATCGTCTGCAATGGATTTTAAAACCCTCTTTAAAACGCCGATGCCATTTGTACACCTTTGATTTCGCCATGGTAAAATCACTGTACACCTTTCTTAGCAATTTTAAAGTCTCTGTAGGTGTTTTACCTAAACGCTGACAAAATTTAATGTTGTAGCGCTGTTCTTGAAACTCCATTTTTATTATGTCGCAAAACAAGGGTAACTATCTCTGAAAGAAAACAATAGCGCTCGCAGTTTAATCACGTGACATGGGCGAAACCAACCTGAACACGTAGGAATGGTTTGATAGAATCAATTTCATATGCTGTAACTTCAAATACATGCTTTTGTTGTCACACGTTACTGCAGTCCCCAAACTTTTGGATCATACCATGTATATCATATTAATTAGAAATTTCAAAAAAGTACTTACGAAACTGATGAAAATTTCGTTATCTAAAATAATTTTTTATGTGAAACTATTCTACAGTAGAGCGTCGTTTATCCGAAAGTCGGTTATCTGAAAGAATTCCAGTCGGCAAATTTAAATTTTCGCTAGTGCTGTGGCGCTGCAATCTTTGGCTATATCTTGGGCTACTCCAATATTTTTTTTTTTGTTGGTGTGTGTGTTTTATCTGGCAGCACTGGCACTTTTGTGTGGTGTTTTTCTGAGGACTGTGTCGTGCTGAATCGAATGTTTTTGATACTAGATCAACTTCTAAAGTATATTTTTTTGGGTTTTTATATTTTTCAATATATTTATTTTGTTTGTAAAAAATAAAGAAATAATTTTTAACGATACAATAGCCACGATTATTATTTTAAAAAGTTTAC